GTCTTAAAGTCATGATTAGTCCGTCAGTCGGCTAGTCCGTCAGTGACTCAGTTACTCATGACCGCTCACTCAAACAAGTTGTCTGTAAGTCGTCCAGTTAGTCACTCCTTGTACCAGTCTCTCACCCAGGAAGGCATTTGTTATCCGGTAGAGGATCGTTCATCATAATGTACTAGATAAATTGCCATTACCTCAGTCACCGTTTTTTCATTTTCATTTCATTGCGTGCTGTTGTTTGTTTATGATAGTCGAGGACCTGCCTGTGGCCCGTGTTACTCCGAACAAAACAGTATCATATGGAGACGGTGCCAGGCTGTACTGCAATCTCACCCACAAGAATAATGAGCAGACCACACCCATAAGCTCCGTGACCTACTTAAGAAATGACGAACGCTTGAAAATAACAACTGATGTCAATCAGCCGTTGATCTTGAGTTCTGTCGATGCAAGAGACGGTGGAGACTATCGATGTAGAATCACCGTTCTCCTTAAAAAAATGGAGCATTACGACGTTACGTCGTCGGCAGCTTATCTCCACGGTAAGTGCAAGAATGAAGGTCGTAAAAAGGACTAAAGGAAAAACGCCAAATAAAAACATCACATTTGAACCCGCAAGGACGTCGCGATAGCCTAGTAGTGAGCTCGGCTAACCTCAAATAAAGAGGTCAGGGAACAAACCTGAAGAAACGCTGGAAGAATTACCTTTGATGCATGACGTCAAAGAGGACCAGCAAGCCGTGGTCACCCCCGGGGTAGACTCAGACAATAATGGTCATCTTGGATTTTGCGTATTGACCCTTTGCACCCTTACATCGGTGATCATATCTTTCAAACTGCTCTCTTTACATTTCATTCAACAATTTTGGACATTTTCAGTTAGAAATCATCTTCATTCCCATGACATTGATGTTTGATTCATAGCTGATACTGTTGGGTGAATTTAGATGCTGGTCACTTTGGTAGTTGAAAGGCTAACAAAACCTTACCATTTAAAAGGCGGCGTGGCCGAGTGGTTAGGGTGCTGGACTTGTAATTCGGTGGCCTGGGTTCGAGTCCTCCATCCTCTACTCGCTGGATTTGTTCTCGGTTGCCCCGAGTTCAACTCTTCGGCTGCACCCTGTAAATAGCCTGTTGGTCTGCCTCCTGCCAGTGGGGATTTTCGCGTATTTTATGTTTATTTAAAACCTTTGTTTGATTTATTTGAGGGCCACAAGTTCATCTGTTGAATCACTGTCATGTGATACCCTCCTTAAATAAAGTTATTATTATTATTATCATTATTATTACTATTTTTATAAATAGAGAAATTAAAGAAATCATATTTCGAACTGTGCATGATGACAATGTAATGCAATTTGAAACTGATTTGTGGTTAATTTTCCGCTAATAATTATTTTGTAGTTTATATGTGAGGATCATTTGGCTATTTATAACAATAAAGCAGGAGGATTGTTTTTTCCAATAACTGTGCCATGGGTTTTTGTTTGTTTGTTATTTTTCTTCCTTTTGGTGTCTCGTGGAAAAAAAATATTTGTAAAAGTACGCCGAACAACCAGAAATCAATGGGAAAACGTAGCGTTTAGACGTGCAATAAATCTCCTATTCACCCACTACACTCAAGACCGTACTGGTAGAACATTGGACCATTGTCTCCTTATACGGACTTAGCGCTGCGAAGTATGTCATTGGTGGATCAAACCAATATTCTTTCAGCAATACTAATCAATATAATTAGTTAATCATGTATTTTACTTATGAACATCTTTAACCTTGGAAATTAGTGAAAATCTGCAATAACCATATCTTTTTTTCAACAGTTCGCGTCCGTTTTCGTATCAGCATGATTAAGTTAACAGCTGACATTGGAGAGAGCGTGGCTATGGTTTGCAGCGCTGAAGGTTACCCCTTGAACATACAATGGAAGAAAAACTACGAGGAAAAAAGTGCTATCATCAAACGTAAGATATACTTAGCTTCTCCGAAATATCATTATCTCTTGGCTCCTCTTTATACAAAATTTAGTGTTCTTCTCCTATAGCTTGCCACCTATATTGACGCGATGTTTTGGTTTTCTGTCGTCAGTTTCTTATTATTTCTGTGAGTGTATGTGTATGTGTTTCAGTTTTTTTTTTTGGGCAGTAAGTGTGTAGGTTTAGCTCATAAAGATATATAACGATTGGGTACTTTGAACCAAATAGGAAAGTAAGACTAATGTTGTTGTTTAAGTCAAAGATGTCCACTTTAAAGTTAGCGTCAGTTGCGAAATGTAGTACTTTGTAGCCTTAAGATTTCATGTTTGACAAGGGTCGTAAATGATCAATCACGACTCTTCACTACAAAACCACCCTTACTTATAGTATTGTGAATAACTAAAACGTTTCTTGTGATTTTTACCCACAGCAAAAGGCCGTTTCATTCTTCAAAGTAAATGCAGTTTCTGTGATTCTATCCTTGTCATCCAGAATGCCACCGCAGAGGATTCTGGAAACTAATCCTGCAGTGCAAGTAACGGTCCTGGTCAGCAGTTTTTCCTTGTCAAGGTGGCTAACGGAACTTTGATAAACGGTAACAAATTTCAATTCACTTAGCATCTGAAATTTAGTCGCTGAGGTTTGTTCTCTCCCCTATGGGTGTGCGACTGTATGTCTCAAGATTTGCATCACTGCCCGGGTTTTGAGTTTTCGTTCCAACTTGAACTGCTTGCTGGATGTTCGGCTGAAGAAGTTTCGATGCATTTTATTTCTAACACCTAAAAACATGTCTTCCAATGATTGATTAAAATCCTTTGGTGTGGCTGAGTAAAGATAATTTAGATTCACTTGCAATTTTGAAGAGGAAACATTTTCTTTAATTTGAAATTATTATACTGGTATAGACAAAGCAGGAAAGCACTCATGCTTTAAAAATATGAAAGTGATTTGCAAGGGGTGAAGCAAGAAATAACACTGAAGGAAAAAGGATACAAGAGTAGATTGTAGAAAAATTGGAAATCCTCTGCTGCAGAGATTTAATCAGTCCTTTAAGCCAGCATTGATTTAGATCTGCAATTTAGTCCTTGTCTAAAGAACTCATGATCACATCCCAACCTAGGAGTGGTTAATCAGCCACTAAGTCACTCTGTAAATAAACTTAAGTGGCATGATTCGAGGACTTCTCTTTTCTTTCTTGTCGGGTACATGAGTAAAGTCGAATCTCAAAGTGCGGCTATTGTGCTGTATCGAAATTCTCCCGCTAATTTATCACGGCGGTTAAGCTCTACCCACCAGCTAAAGTAGGTACTCTTGGACTACAAAATAGAAGTTTCATAATTTGATCTTCTTTTCATTTCATATTATTTCAGCGGCTCATACAACTTCGGTTCCAAATCATGTGAACTTCATCATGCAAGGGTTCCTGTGGATTTGGTGGAGTTCATTATAGAGACGAAGGCAAAAAAGATGGCATTAAAGAAGAAGGGCTCCCGATGAATTAGATCGAAAAAAAAAAATCACTGTAGTCGTGATTTTAAAACACTTGCTGCGTAGCTAGATGACAGTGACGAATCCGCTGAAGATTTAAGAAGTGTCATTTCATACTGATTGTTAGGCCAGCTGTACAAGATTTTTTTTGCAATGAGAGACTCTCTCCATATGATAAAAATTACGTTCATGAGCTGTGTCAATTAAATTAGGACGAGATATAACCGTTCAACTGAACAACACATTGTCTCGTAGCAGGAAATGCTACAAAAGTTAGCGCCTTTTCCAGGAGGAAATTATTAATGTATGCCTATAATTGCATTGCAAGTTGATCTCCGTGGAACAAGCCATCCCTTTCATTGTTGTTTCGAGTTTTGTAGAATCGAATTTCTGCAATTTGGAAATTAAGTTTTGATAGCAGTGAAGATTAGTTACAAAGACAGTAAAAATGATAATGGTAAATCTTATAGTGGCCATAAAATTGACTAATTGGAGCTCCGCTTTTAAACTTCTATCAGTAGCTTTCTCTTATCCGTTTTGAATCGTCTTTGCTATTGAATTTTTTTTTTTTCGGCGCGGTAATAGAATAAATGTGCAGAAAATGTAGTAATGGAGAAGTAAATAAGTTTATTTACTCCTGAATGTATAGTATTCATTACAAAAATTTGAGCTCTTTACAAAGCATTTTACAAGTTTTAATAAGGTAACAGATTATGGATTAGATTTCAAAGTTTATATCTGTTAGGAACAGTACTGATA